GGAGAACCTCACCCTAATCAGAGGTGCTGCCAGGGCCTGGCCATGCTCCCCTCAGCTCAGCACTGTGGAAGGGAAGTGAGGGCGGCTCTAGCATCCCCTGGCTTCTAGCCTGAGCCACTGCAGGCATAAACAAATCCTTGGAGTCTCTTAAGTCAGAGTGCTCTTAGTCTCCCAGAACTCTTTTAGGGCTTTGAAACAAAGTAAACAATGCAAGCTTTTTTTAAACCTAAATGACCATAAATCCCTGGTTTCACAGCCTAGCTCTTCATGTGATGTCCTGATGTCCTATGCCTTTCAGGACACCTAATTTATTTATCATTTTATCAAACAAAATACTCAATTTAAAAAAAAATAACTGTAGAAGTAATTGTTTGTGATCAATTATTTTAGACCAAAGTTTGTTCCACACTTATCAGGAATAACTTGTCCAGTGGCATGAGTGGTTGCTGTGATTTAACAAGAGTTGGAATGATGAGAAAATAATGACGACAGTTGAATGCCACCATCCAAACTCTTTTCCTGTCTCAAAGGGAATGCTACACTTCGTGGTCGGTATTCCACATCATTCAGAGCACAAAGCTACTGGAAAATATCTTTTTTTGTGCAAGAACAATGCATGTGTCACTGTTGAGTCAGAATGTAGCAGTAAGAATATCAGCATGTGGTTTTAAAAGTTAGTGGACTCATATGAATAGCATCACCACAAAGCATCCTGTGTTTTTTTTTTTTTTTTTTTTTTTTTGTGTTTTTTAATTTGCAGATATGGTTACTTTATGTTTAGTCAATGATATGTCAACAATAGTGGTTAATCATACTGCACCACTGCTGGCCACAGAAATAGCATCAGAAGATTTCCAGATCTATGGTTAGGAAAGCAACAGTCCCATGTGGCAATTACAAACATCTTTTTTCTGGTAATTCACACCACCAATGATTAATGGGAGGGAGATAGCTGCATCATTTGCTGGGAACCATCTGCTCCCCTGCAGACAAGCAGACCTCTCAGGAACTTGTCAATTCATGTCAGGTAGTGTAGAGCTAGGACTGATCTCACTGGCACTGCAGAGGCATATGCTGAGATTTGAATCTGGTTGAGAGGTGGTCCGGAAATTACAGCAGTAATAAAATCTTTGGAAAGAAAGATGGAACATGGCATGGAGGGTAATTAGCATAAGTTCACTATGACTACAGAACCAGGTTCAGTGGCTGGTTTAAATATTTCTCACATTTCACAGCTTGGTGTTTCACTAAGATGATGGGAAGTTCCCAATATTCCAATTATTCACAAGCTGGAAAACAGTTTATACGTCAATACTGTCTGTGAGATGCCAACAATAACATCTTAACCATATTTCTGGTTAAAATGAGACCAAAACAATAATTTGTTAAACTTCTTGTCTCACACTGATCAAACTGGATTTATATGGCTAAGAGACTGGAGACAACCATGTGTGGAATTTTAAATTAAATACTGCATGTTGAAAAATAACAGAAATAGCCAATTTGCTGTTACTGGACACAATAAAAAGCTTTCTGGATAAAAGGATTTATTGTATGTAGAGGATTTTCTAGTGCTGGAATCCACCCGCCCCCCATCAGAACAGCTTTCCATTTGTATTGCTTCCCTCACCTTTCCCCCCTGGAGCACATTACAAACATTGATTCATTCTCACAATCCCCAATGAAGGTAAGAAAATATCCTTAGGCTCATTTTACTGATGTCAGTATTGAAACATGAAATGATCAGGAATACCTGTTATTCAGCCCAATGCCCAGCCCACAGCTCTCGTTTTCACTGGGAAATGTTGATTGGACCAAAGTTCTTTTTTTTGTTTTGTTTTTACTCATTTCTCCCACATCAGTATACCAAGATATAGTACTATTCTTCTTTTTATGTCTAAGAACTTGTATATTCCCCCATCAGCAGAGTATCTGAATGTCTCTCACTTGGGCACATATACACAGAGCACCTCAGTAAGTGTGGAATATCCTAGTTCCTATTTTATACATATGGAATGAAGGCACAGGGATATTACCTCACATGGGAAGTTTATGGCAAATAGAGGAATTGCACCAGATAAATGGGTTCCAAGTCCCAGTTTGGTGCCTTAAATGCAAAATCTTTTTTTTTTTGTTTTTTGTTTTTGTTTGTTTTTGTTTAACTTAAAAACCAAAACCCTGCTTCCACCCCATTATGATCCAGCTTAGCAAAAAGAATACAGGGAGACCAGAAAGTAGGTTTTTAACTTACAGGCTAATAGAAGTTCTTTTGATGAATGTGGCATGTTATTTTGCTCTTATTTAAATTGTTAACATTGCCACTTTTTTGGGTTTTTTTTTATCCAGCCCTGGAGCTCCTTCCCTTTGTTCTTCACTTTTTCAGTACGTCTCAGGGCAAATACAATGTCCACCTGAATAGATGATATGGGGTAAGACAGACAGTATGAGTTGCATGTATACATCATGAAATTTTAGCATAGACAAAACCCGTTTGCCTTATGTCTACGTTCCAGGCTGCACTTGAAAAATTTTGGTTTAGAAGCATTATCTGTCTAATGCATGTAAGTAAACTTGACTAGACCAGCTGTACAGGGAAATATTTCCATGCCTTCCTCTCCCTCTGAATCTAGTCTGGTCCTGCTTATTAGCCCAGACTGCAATGGAAACAGAAATGTACGGATTAAGTGATTGTTACTGTCTTTGGAGGTACAGACTGTGCTGAGAGACAATTTGCTTTTACTTCAGGATCTGCCTCAGAATGTAGCCATGTGCAAAATATCAAAACAAAATTGGCATTAAGATAAATGACTGTTTGGCAGCCAGGGCAATGCGACCAAGTGAATAAAGAACTGCTCAATCGGACTTTCAGGCAAGTGAACCCCAATTCAAATCTGTTTAATTCATGCAAATTGATTTGCAGACAACACCAGCTGTGCCACTAGCTTGCCATTTACTCTTTACTGAAAGGCAATGATGTGCATGAAAATCATCTCAGTGAAGCAGATGTGACATGCATTTACCGTGGATCAGACCAATGACTCATTCTTGAGACTTCAAATGAGAGCTCATGGAAGAGGTCCAGCACTTCGGAAGACTTAGACCCTAAATGCTTTCTATTTTATGTATTACAAGAAAATAAACACAGAAAAATCCCTTTAGCTAGTCTGAAAATTTAAGATTAGAACTAACATTGATATTTGCACCATGAAAACAGTCCTTTCTTAGTTAGTTCAGGTGGGATTTGATTAACAGACATTAATGTCTCCTCTGGGAATAAAGCTACTTCAACAATCAATGCAGTAGATTTCCACTTCCATTTTTTTCTGCCTCTTGAAGAGTTCATTGTTCACAGTTCTCCATTAACCTCATAGGGCACTTGTACATGTGATGGGTGCCATGATGTACAAGTGGCAAAAATGTCATGTGTGTGGCTTTGTTGTGCTGTGGGGCCAGGCCAACTCTCAGGATCTCAAGATTGTGCTGTTAGATGGGAGGGTGTGACACAATTACACACACACACACACACACACACACACACCAATTAGGTGCATGCACACACACACCAGACGCATACACATACCGGGCATACAACCCCGCTACCAACTCAGGCACATACACATCCAAAATTACCAGCATAGGCACATGCACACCTATCACCAATTCAAGCATATACACACACTACACACACCAAAAATTAGACTAAATCAATTACCAATACCCGCACACTCAATACACGGATCACTAATTTGTATACCACGTACATGATGAGATATATATATATATATATTCACCAGTTTACACACATACCACCCACCTACACATACATACAGGTGAGTTCCTAACTTGGATGGTATGTGTGTGCTTGGGATACCTGGGGGAAGGTTAAGGTGAGAGAGTGAAAGTTGCCGGGAGAGGGATTAGAACCAGTAGACTACAGAGAAGCTGAGCTGAGGAATTG